CACACACACACACACACACACACATACGTGCACACACACACACACACACACACACACACATATACACATACACACATATACACACACACAAGGGGGGGAGGGGCACACACATAAGCACACCCAAATATACACACATTAATTTACGTTTCAGAAAAATTATTGTTACTGATAATGATAGCAAACCTTAATAGCACTGCATTCTAAAGAGAACTGTTAATATAAATTTAAATGCCAGTTTTAAAAAGCGGTAAAAAATGTAGAAAAATTGAATGGCAGAATTGTGATGAAAATAATTTTCCATTGGTTAGAACATTGTGCCTGCTCAAGTGTGAATTAATATTTGTTTACGTGAAACGGCATTCTATAAATAAGGATGCCCGCTTCTGGAGGTTTAGCTGACTGTACTGATTTTGAACTTCCATTAAACTCAAAGGGGATATCAGTGGATCTGTTCATTTGCATATTAAGTTCTGTCCCATTTCGTAGTAACAACGCATGTAATTAGTAAGTGCAAAACTACTAACTGACACTACATATTATAGATCTATACAACGCGACTAAATTTGAGGGGGCATATTTTACATGTATTTCCTGTACAACAAGAGCTTTCTGTTCGAAAAAAATCACCTCGGTTTCCTTTTCTTTAACAGCAACAACAAAAAAGTTTGAAACAAAGTTCTACTGTACTTAGGCCAAAAACACAAATTATTAGGTCATATAAGTATAAGCGTCGATTAGAAGTGTTGCTAAGCAGTAAAATACCGGTACAAAGAGAAAAAAGAGAGGAGATATTAGATGTGTTTCTTGAGAGTACTGGTGCAAAGGAAAGAAGGGAGAGAGATAACGATTATTGATGATTGAAAGAAAAGAAAGAGCACCCCCCCCCCTCAGTTTTCGTGTTGATCTACTTCATTCAATGAACATACCAAAGTAAGGAAGCTTGAGCTTGTAGTGGACAAACGGAAGGTAAAAGACGAGACCTCCTACAACAAAGATGGCGGCGTAGAGGAACTCAAGGGACGGGTCCTGGACGATGGGAGCGATGACCAGGTAGATGGAGAAGAGGATCATGATGATGGGGATGATAATGGGAACCTGTGGAGAGATCAGATCGTAATATTATGTACGTGGGTTCAGGAGCTGGACAAACTGTTCATGGGTGCGCTCTGGTGTTATGTGCTATTTAATGTTTAGGCTACTTTGTAGGCTACAACAGCAACAACAACAACAGCAACAACAACAACAACGATAAGCTCTACAACAATCTCAACTTGTAACATTTTTTTTCTTTCTAGAATTGGTTTTTGTCAAGTTTGAGTTTAATAACCTATTAAAACAAATACATTGATGTCCATTTCAAAGGCAACGTTTTCAGTCTGGTGGTTGGAGCACGGTTGAAGGAAGGATTTGAAAGAAAGTTTAACCCTATGAAAGAGACGGCACACCTAAGGCTGTAAAACACACCAGAGCACTATAGTATAATTATGTGAGTTGATATCCAGGAATCTATGATAATATTTTCCCCTCAGTGATTACGTAGAACGGAGAACGCCTTGCTGGAACTTTGTTTAGATGCTCATACCCCCCCCCCCCCCCCTTTTCACACACACACACACACACACACACACACACACACACACACACACACACACACACAAACCCCCCACACACACACATTTAATGCTGATAGCCAATTTACACATTGATACATACTTTTTTACGTTATGGGTAATATTGAACATAACCAGAGGCTTGTCTTTCAAAACATTTTCAAATTCAAGTATCTCACAGGGCGAAATATTGTTCTTTACACTCGCAAATTAACTAGTGTCATTGCATAACTGGGCCCATAATTGATCGTCTTCCTCAGCTGAACTCTACGTAGGCCTTTTGTTAATGCACTATATTTGCAAGGTGGTAAAATATAAAGGCGACCTTTGAACCAACCTTCCCCCCCCAAAAAAAAAAAATTAAAAAAATAAATAAAGAAATAAAGAAATAACTGTTGATATGTTTTCCTTTTTAAAGATTGATATAATCTAGTCATACAGTTTTCAACTTGTAACGGTCTTTAAATAGGGAATTGTAGAAATACTATTCAAAATTTGTGATATGGATTCCAGAAACAGCAGAGTTTCGTTATAGTCCTGCAGAACGAGCAAGTGTGACGGAGAACTCCCATTCAACATAATACAATTTTTTTCGTAGCTCTCCTTAGGCTAGAGATTCAGACTGTGATGAAATGAAACTAGACGCAATCCACGCCATGCGTTGAGGACATTCATCTGTCTCCAAGCTAGAAAAATGTTATATAAGACGGATAGCAGTCGGTCGCAACGCATGGGAGCAAGATGCACAGTACGCTACATATACAATTACATAACTGAACCAGGACACGAAACCATAACATCATAGTAAAAACCAGGACTCTGTGATATTTTGGTAATAAGTAGTAACGCCGCTTTCAACATCATAAGTATATGGACGGCTGTTCCTCCTTTGTACGGAGCCAATTTTGTCATGCAGTTTTACAGCATAGCAAACTTTCCTTCAAATCCGCCCCTACTTAAATTATAATAATATGAACAACATAAATATCAAGCTGAGCAGAAAGGAATGATCCAACCAGTAATCATACAGTTTGATTACAGATAGTAAATTTCCTGAAGTATGGTAGATCTTTTGTTATGTCTGTTAATAACTGAGCTACACTGTGACCCAGCTGAACTGTTGCGCTGTATACTGAGAGTTTAATATTAAAGGATTAGGTTTAGGGGAAACAAAGGGGGGGGGGGGTGTTATCCGATTTTAACGTTAATCTCCGACAAGACATCGGGAAGGAGAAGAGAGAAAACGACAGCATATCAAGTTCAAAAGAACACTGTAAGGGTTTCGGATCTGCGTTGCCTGCACTGCAGTTTAGCTTGATACTTCCACAACAATACCGCACACAGCCATACCAGTATACCAGAATATGACCGCATTCCACTGGCATTACTAAAGCATCGGGATTTAATCTGACAACATGGGGGAGCTGGAAGTGTGGTCACGATACACGTATTCATCCACTCCTCATGTAAAGAGCTGAGATTGGCACAGGCACTTAGTAGATATCTAGGAGATAATCACCGAAACATTTCTTGAACTTTCCGCGTGCTCTTGTCAACAAGTTTGAAGACGGTACCACTCGTGTATTGAGATAACATAATCCAGTGGTACCGGATTGTAGCCTAGGCCTATTATCGAAAAATATGCGTTACTAATAAGGTTAAAAAAAACCCCCACATACCCAACGTAACGAGGAGGTCACTTTTAAACAGAAACTCAAATTCTTGATTTCGTTGTGTTCATTGTAATCACTTTGCCTCTAACAAATGGACGTGCTATTTCCATTCTGTAGTTTTCAGCATTACATTTTTTATTCAGCGGGCAGATATTCAGAGACATCCATGTATTCAGATATGTAAATGTATACACAGTGACGTATAAACTTTGAATACTTTTAAGCACGCTGTTCTTTAAAAGTTAAATTTGGTCTGTTTAACAGTTTCAATGCTACGCGACAATAAGTTCGATTTAGAAAGAGCAATGGAAGCAAAAATGTTTCGTTTTAGAAGAAAAGACCACATTAAAAAGGAAACAAAATAAACGGAAACAGAAAAGGAAACAATGAAATTAATGATCCCAAGATTAGTCAATCGGGAAGAACGAATAAGGACAATTTTAAGCCATATTCAAATCATGTTGCTTCGGCATTAGACTACATATGTTAATGTCAGACAACTTATTAAAGATCCAGTTACAGCTGCTGATAGTGATACATCAAACAAAAATTGGACGATCTGTCAATACTTTCTTTCATACGACAAATCATAACGTATAATCACCAACTTGTGCAGGAACTGGACGATTGCACGATGGATTGGAGACCCGATCGAGACATCAAGCACCGCCTGATATTTTTGTTCGATCTAGGTCAGATTTGGGACAGAAGAGCTGGGGTGCAGAACTATGAGTGCAATTTTTTTTCACAAAGATCACAAAGTGACACCATTTTGAAATCAGTGTATTAAACTAAGCAAAGTGTCTCGCGAGGAACCTGAGTTGATGCGATGCTTAAACTTTGGCAAACGTAATTTCATCTTTTGGGATTGATAATTTATAGTGAAGTCATGTGTCAAGGTCACCCAGCGTATTGCGCATCTGTTGTGTGAGTGAGATATAGGACAGGGAAATTCTTTTCTTGGACAGACCTCATATCAGCCTAGCGTTCAGAAGGCAGAATAGTTCTTCCACCGTCGAATGAGCCTCTCCAACTTTCTAATAACTGAAGTCTTTGCACCCTTACCCCTCCAAACACACACTCACATGCACCCCTTGATAAGGTTAATAAAGATAAGGTCCTTAAAAGAAAAGAAGATGAAAAAAAAATACCAAACAAAGTTTGCAAAAAAGATTTAAAAAAAAGAAAATAATGACCAAATGAAGTCTCACCTCCCATC